CTACTGACACCACTTCTGATCTAGATACCAGAAGCGATAGGGAGATCCGATCGCTACGAGCTGCAGTCTTCATGGTATAAAGTAACGAAGCTCTCACTCTCATTCTGCAGCAGCGCTCCATCCGACCTACCTTCGCACCTTCTTCCGCACCTTGGGCACAGGTTGCCTTTGCCGTCCGTACTCGTATTTTCAGGATCAAATCACATTTTGCTACTGCTTCGTTACCCACAACCGCTCCTTTCACCACCTTCACCGACATGCATTTCAGCCAGGTTATTATCACATCAGTTTTGATGGCACTGGGCGCGTCTGCAGCCCCTGTGGCTCTCAACGGCAGACAGGCTGGCCTACCTGGAGCTCCGCTTCAGGCTCCCGGGCCTGCGTCCCCTCCCATCCCCGGTTCTCCTCTCGGTCCCGGAGGCCCAGCAGGACCCAGCGCAATTCCCGCGACTCCCGGCCCGCCCATCCCAGCGTCTCTCCCAGGCGGTGCCATTCCCCCCGCAATTCCTACTGCGCTCCCGGGCTCTCTGCCCGGACCCCCAGTTCCAAGTGCGGACCCAGCGACCCCTTTGGGAGCCTCCATCCCGGTGTCGCTCCCCGGAGGCGCAATCCCTACAGCACCCGCCTCCGTCCCCAGCGCTCCGATCCCCAGCGATGTGCCTTCAATCCCAGGAGGCCCACTCATCCCTGCGTCGGATTCCGCCCCAGTCGTGGCCGTCGCTAGCACCCCGTCCACCCCGTCAGCGGTGCCGGTATCCGTAGCGTCTGGTGACCTCGACGGCGAACTCGGCTTCACTGGCGCGAAGTCCTTCGAGACGAGGTGAGTTCTCTGTACATGATCTGCATTGTCGCCCGCATGCTTACGCCTTACGAAACAGCGGTGGTGCAAGGCGCGCTGCCTTCGAGGAATCCAAACTCATGCCTGGGCCCGTGGTGGCGTACTAGGTCTTGATTTACCGCTAGGTCTTGATTTACCGATACTGGTGCGGAGATAACATACACAGCACAAACATCAAAACGACTGACCAGATTTTGTTTAGCGATACGTTTCTTGGTGTCTTGCTTTGTTGAGTGTACGTGAAGGTGGTAGGTGAGTTCGGGCCCAACATCCGTCCGTTCTTAAAGCTGATATCGACCTGTGCAGTGTTTACGTGGCGAGCTTTCAGGACAGACGACGGTAGTACAGTGATTGTCTGCTGTTACGGTACGGATCATATCAATGCAAGCGTGGAACTCTGTGCGCTGGATACTTTTGGGTGCAATGAGTGTCAACGATGTCGCAATTCGGAGGCTTACGACAAAATTCGATCACCAATATTGAGGCTGGATTCTGCCAACAGTGGCAGCCTCGCGTCACGAAGAATGCAGGCTCGACAGCAGAGCGGTGGAATTACACTCTTATACGGGAATGAGGAGCACAGGATAACGGTGCCTCAATCGTCCGAGGGGTGCTGGTCATTATGTTGTAAGCCTGCCATCTACTTCCGAGCTTGGAGTCCTTGTGGTGGTGATTTGAAGCAGCTAACGGACGCCGTTCACTGAGTAAAGCCAGGTCTGTCGTTTCCTTCTGCTGTGTCGGGGACGGATGGCATTGTGGTTCAGACGCGCAATTAATGGCTGTGAGTAGATGCGTGCGTTGATGGCAAAACCGGCATCAAGATGTCTCCCCGCCACTCCGCAGCCGTGTCTGTTCAACCCATGAGCTTTAGGTACATTCCTTCGCCTCGTCATCACCCTCAATCGTGATGAATAACTTCCACAGTAGGCATTATCGTCGCGGTGTCATATTTGTTCTCGACTTTTACAGAATGCAACATGCATTTCGGCTGTCGGAGGCACTCCCACTGACCTGCCCCTCTGATATAGATGCTATATACGCATAATGCATCTTCACAGGACACAGTCTTCTCCAGCTATAAGAACAGAGAAGTTATCGCCATCGTTCTACAGCAGCGCTCCACTCAATTCGCCTTCGCACTTCATTCGACATCTTGGCACCGGCTGCCTTCACGATTGACATTCAACCTCCTTGAACTCTGTCTATCCCTCACTCACTTATTACATTTCCAATCCCACCACCGACCTCGTCGACATGATTTCCACCCGCATTTTCTTCACATTGGCTCTGACGGCGCTGTGCGCGTCCGCGGCTCCTGTGGATTTCAGGAGCAGGCAGGGCGAACACACTGGTGGTCCCTTGTCTGCTGGAGGCGGCCCATTCCCCTCTGGTGGCGCCAACCCTCCTGGCATCCCGCCCCTCCATGGCACGGCTGGTGTCCTTCCTGGGAGAGCAGTTCCAAGCGCTGTCGACTCAGTTGTCTCCGATTCCGGGACCCAAGGCATTCCCAGCGCAGCCGCGTCGGCCCTTTCTGGCGGCGCGCCCGTCCCCAGCGGCATTGCATCCCGCCTTTCTGCAGGTACCCTCCCCAGCGGCGTGGCATCCCGCCTGTCCGCAGGTACCCTTCCCAGCGGTATAGCGTCCGCCCTTTCCGCAGGTACCATCCCGAGCGGCGTGGCATCTGCCCTTTCCGCGGGTACTATACCCAGTGCCATCGCATCCCACCTTTCGGCAGGTACCCTTCCTAGCGGTGTCGCATCCGCCCTTTTTGCAGGCACCCTACCTAGCGGCGTTGCATCCGCCCTTTCCGCGGGTACCATCCCGAGCGGCATCGCATCCGCCCTTTCCGCGGGCACCATTCCCAGCGGCATCGCATCTCGCCTTTCTGGGCTTCCATCCCTCCCGAGCGATCTCCCGGACTCTCCCTCCGGAGGGCCGCTCCAGAGCGCGATCCCGACCGCCCTCCCGGATGCCTCAGCTGCCCCTAGCGCGGTTCCCGACCCTAGAAACCCAATCCTCCCCCGAAGCGGCACGACCCAGTCGAAAAGTGCGGTGGCAGCTGTACCGTCGCCCTCGCATAGCGGCGCCCCGGCTGCATCTGCTGCGACGGCGGCTCCAGTGTAAGTCGATGCCTGTAATCTGTGATATCCGCGGCTCATGTGCAGTATGTGCAGCTTCGGTGGTGAACCTGATACCGGAAACTGACTTCGCAGCACGCTACGAGGAACTTCCATGGTACGGCGCGGGTGTTATGACTCGGAGGGTATAGAAATGACGGCTGACTGCTCTTTTTTTTATCCTAGCTTCCTGGAGATCCACGTCTGGGCGTTGAAATATTCTCTTGATTGTCGGGGAACGGTTCTGGGTGAGCGTGATAGTGTCCACTTTTATGTACCTGGTGTTAACCTCTCCGCAGAGTAGAGTGGGCGCATACTCCAGAATGGACAATAGTATTTTAGTATTACCTGCACTGTTACACTACGGATTGTATCTCGAAATGCAAGACAGGTGTTAGTGTGTTGGATATTGAACGGCCCGAGAAATGGTCAACGTATGCAAGAAGGTCGCATGGTCAAATTATGAGTAACTTGAAGCCACAAAATCGGGTAAGGGCTAGTTGTCAATTTTCCCCCTTTGCACGAGAGGTCCGAAGAGAGTATCGAGTGAGTATCAATCTCGACAAGTTGAAGACGACGGAGGCTAACTTGACATACATACTCGCGGTGTCGGCGGCCCGGCGCCTTGATGTTGTGTCAGCGCTCAGATAGTCTCTTGCTGAGTGCGCTGCCAGACCGCTGGTTCCCCTTCCAAGCCATCAAGTCACAGCAAAGCGCCATCTCTACCTCAATACATTACAGGAAACAGTCATGGTCGTGCATTAGCATTTGAGAGAGCCATCTCACCAGCCCCGAAAGATACATCTTCAAGGATCGCCTAACCAACCACAGGAGTTCATTCGTACTTTTTCTTATACCATGTGAGTGGTACATCAGCCTCATCCCATTCATCTGCTATCTCTTCGAGCTGTAACAGAAATTTGATCATTGTCGTGTCATCCTTCTCCGCGGCATGATGATCCTAGAGGACGGTCAGCGGGTCTAGCTCTCGAACGACTCACGCCACCAACGCACCTCGATAGAGTCCCAAGCCGTCATGAACGCGAACTCATCGGTCTCAACCTCCTTTCCGTAGACCGCTCCCCGAAATCCCTTGATACCCTGCGCTTCGATGAGAAGCTTCATCACAGCGTCAAGGTTGCTGTGAGTGCTCTCTTGCTTCAGCTTGACCTGTCCGACTGAGGTGACCGGCGCATCCAAGACTCTACCCAGATTCGTAGAGGGCTGGAAGTATGCGTGAAACATCGTAGCCGACCCGTCAATGCACTTTCCCATATCTTCTCGCAGCTGGGCATTCTTGTCGCTGTGCATGAGGTCTTCGTGGTCCTTCAAAGTCTCCCATACTGCTTCAAGTTCAAACGAAATATCGCCATGATTGAGCAGGTCGACTCACCAACTAATGAATAGCCTTGCGTGAGATAGCCATGGTACATCCTATGAGACGGAAAGGTGATTCGTGACGCGTTGAGCGGAGAGGGCGGTATTTAGACTTACCCAAGGGAACCCTTCCAGTCGCCAACAATGTCGAACGCTGGGTAAATGACCGTCTGGTCACTGCGATAGGCTTCGCTAGCCCGGAAGATGAGAACTTCCACTACAGGTTTGAGATCCATGATTATAAGCCGAGGAGGAGCTGACCGTTACTTTCCTATCAGGTTCTTATGAAGACTCGCTCTCGTCCGGTGTCGTGGATAAGGTGCCGAATATGTGCAACTCAAGGGTGCCCCATCTGCTTCAATCGGGGAATATGCACTCTTCGATGTGACAGGCGGGACGCACATGACGGCAGAGAAGGCACAGGTACATGCACATTGCAGTTCGCCGGCGCCACAGTTGTTCGCAATAGGCTTTGGCGAGTCAGAATTTGTATGGACCATTCAGGGTGACAAGGCCGATGTGTAAGGTGAGGTGCAGGATAAGTTCGCTACGTTTCTCTATTTACAGAAGTGATGTTGAAAGTTCTCGGGTAGGAACGTCGGGATGGCAGTCGCTTGAACCCGACAGAGCATGCTCAACAGGATTTATTACAAACAAAGACATATATCGCCGGGATAGCTCAGCTGGGAGAGCAACAGACTGAAGTCGTTCTTGTGGTTCGCAGAACAGCCTTCTGGAGGTCCCGTGTTCAATCCACGGTCCTGGCATCTGATTTCTTTTTTTGTACAACCTGTACTTGTCAGGACCGACGAAGATATGAGTTACGCTCGAGCGCTCTACGCCACAAGAAGTGGCAGATCTTCTCCGGTGTTCCACTTACATTCGTCAGGATCCTCGCGATGCTGCTCGAGCTTCAACCTGGTGCTCCGCTTGTCTGGTCAAGTCTCCGGGATTTTTCTTCTCCGAGTGAAGGTGAGTATGATGATGCCATTATTCCTTGAAGACTTCACTTCGTCACATGTCTGTTCTTCCCAGTTTATCGTGAGGATCCGAGTGACGGAAATACGTACACGGACCTTGCGTTTCATGCCAACGGCGGACATACGGCGCGCAAGTCAGTCAGGGAAGCTGGCGCAGATGTCAGTTTCATCGAAGCAGTTGCGGCTTCGATCCATTGATGAGACTGTAAGCTTCAGGTCGAAAGGCATGCGCACTTGCGCCGGGCACACCTGCAGTGCCAGACTACATGACATGGCGCAGCGTAGGTCCACGGTCATCGCCGTACTCGCCCTTCAATCGACCGTTCAGTGGCGCAGGTTCAGGTTCTCGAAGCTTAGGCTTGTTTGAAGGCCCCGAGGCAGGTGCTGCATAAAAATCCTGTACTTGTTCAATGCTGACAATCAGAGCTCCATCTTTCATATCGATTGACAGACGATATGGAGCGTACACTATGTGTCGTCGACAATCACAACATGTTCTCAGAATAGTTGTTTGAGCATAGAGTCTCGACTCGGAGCATCTCCCCCCGCATATTTCTTGACACCGGTGCGCAGGCATACAATTAACATCACGCATACCGTCAGGGCATAGAGTCTGACATATTGACCGGTAGCAGGATCTGCGCAATGGCATTCTCCCAGTGGCGACGGTGAAACTCCTGGCGATCGGGGTGAAGCCATTTTTGTCCCCAAGCTATTGCACATGAACTTCAGTACTTCCGTGCAACTGCCTCGTGTGCTTCAGGTGGACAGAAGTTTTGACGCTCAGAACGCCGGTGCGGACAAAGTGCGGTCTCGCGCATACTGGTATGCTCATTGACGTGTGGGGATCCTACCTTCACGTACGACAGATGGGCATACCCCGCAATTTTTCGGTTCCTGTCCATCGGAATCCGTCAACAAATTACCGGAATTCCATCACCCCGCTCTCCTAAGTTGGTCTATGTAGGGTGTCCGGTGCGCGTCGATATCCGGCCTCAGCCTCTTTCAAGTTGGCGATATAAAATGCCAGGTCGACTTTGTGATATCCTTAGACCAAGTACCCACCCTGCTCGACCATGCCTTCCTCTGTACCCGCAGCACAGCACATTCCGAACGTGGCCACAGATTATCTGGTCGTTCCCAAGCACACTGCTCCATCTTTCCACTACCGTATCGGCAAGGCGCACCATCTCCCCGTCACTGCTACTGTCTCTCATGCTGGCGCCGAGCGCTCTATCGCTATACAGCAACCTGCCGCCGATGAACAACCTGTGGGTGAAGAAGAACCTACCGCCAACAAAGAGCCCGCTGTCGGTACGCAGCCTGTCGGACGGTGGGGCTACCCCATCCCAGGCGTACAGTCGCCAACGCCTCAGGATGCCACTGCGCCTCACTTCTTTATTCAACCCTCTACGTGGGACAACGTCATCGACCACGGCGAGTTTGACGATGTAGTTGTGGGAAGCGGATTTTGCGCCTTGGCCTATGTTACAGAGGCGCTGGAACGCGACCCGTTCCGCCGCATCCTCATTCTTGAGCGTGGAGGTAAGTGACCAGTAATAATTCTGCCGTCGTTATACCCATTCGTCCCGTAGATCTATGGCTGCCGACGCACTTCCAAAACCTTCCGCTCCCGTTCAAGATGGTACTTGGCGGACCCTCTGAGACTTTCCCGTGGACTTTGTCTTACAAGACGTACAATTCGACCCTTCGCTTCTTGCACGGATCGTGCCCTTTCTTCGGAGGTCGCTCAACCTTCTGGAGCGCTTGGGTGTGTATCTCACTCTTCCCTCGTTCAAGTCGCAATTCTCATGTCTTGACTATTAGAGCCCTCGTCCTACGTCCGAGTTGATGCGTGGCTTCCCTCCGTACCTGGTGAAAGCTGCCGCGACGGAGGAATTTTGGAAGAAGGCGAGCACTCTTCTGCACGTCACAAAGGCGTCCGAAATCGAGGACCAGGTCTTTGGGGTGCTTCAGAAGGGTATAGACACCCGTCTCGCTTCGCATATCAATCAGATCCCCACTGCGAACACTACGGAATCCGCTCCTCTCTCAGTCGGTCGCACGTATTCTATCACTACTGTTCGCTTCAACAAGTTCTCTACCCCTGGCCCCTTGCTCGCTCTCCAGGAGCGCCAGAGGCACCTCGCTCACGCCAAGAAGGGCAGTCCGCTCATGATCGCCACGAATGTCATCGCTCAGAAACTCCAGGTGGACACCGATGACGATAACAAAGTCAATGTCCTCAGGACTTCGCGTGGTGACTTGGTCTTCCCCGACGGAAAGACCAACGTCATCCTTGCCGCCGGCGCCATCCCCAACACGACTCTCCTCCTGAATTCTCTCCCCGAGATGCAGAACCGTGCCGGCAGCAGGATCACCGGCCACTTCCTCACTCACATCGCGGCGCGCTTCCCCATCGACGACACCCTCGGCAAGCTGAGCGATCACCTGGAGATCGCGGCCAACTACGTTGCGGGCAAGGCCACGAACGGGCTGCAGTACCACATCCAGGTCACCGCTCTCCATTCCCCCAACCCCGAGCAGGACGCTGAAGATGCGGCGCGTGAGTGCCCCGACTTTGCTGCCGCCGCTACCGAGGAGCAGCTGAAGGGGTCGGAGAAGCACATCGTCCTCGGTGCGTACCTTCCTGTTTTGCGAGTCTCATCACTGTCAGAGTCAAGTTCTGAAATATTGGCTTTGTTCCAGTGTGCGCCACCCTCGGCGAGCTCGACGAGCACAACCCCAATTCCTGGGTCAAACCGAACGCTCAAGTGTCAGACCCGACCACCAACATCAAGGTGCAAATTACGCTCACCGACAAGGACCAAGCGCTCTGGACCACCATGGACAAGGCTACATACGACGCCATCGCCGTCATGGCCGGCAACCAGAGCGCAAACGTGGAGTACTGGGCGAAGAGCCCGAACAGCGACTCATGGGGGTGGTCGAAGAACAAGCCCGCCGTGGAGGACATCCGCGTCCCTGGCGTAGTCCACGAGGCGGCGACGTTGTACATGGGCGAGCGCAGTGATACTGGGGCGTCGGTAGACGACCACTATAGGCCGTTTGGGTCGAACAACGTCTACGTGACGGGCGCCGCGCTGTTCCCGTCGTCGGGCTCGTGGAACCCGACGTTGACGATGTGTGGCTATGCGCAGGATCTGGCGACGAAGATAGTGCCCGCCAGGCCACGATCTTCTTGAAGAGGTGTTTTTCTCTTGGTGCCCAAGTGCTTCGTCTGTCCCATAAATTAATTCTCTTCCTCTTTCCCTGCTTCCCATATATACACGATGAGTCTTCGATGTTCTTGTGGAATAAGCAATCAAGCTCTACCTGGTATATCGTAGTAGTACGAGTGATCGAAACAAATGGGATTAGTTGAATATGTCGTATGTAGCTGCCAGTCCGAGGTCGGCCAGTGTCGTAAAGCAGACTTGTACCAAATGAAACCGAAGAGCCCAAGATAGAGGATCGAATTGACAGGATATCTCCAAATTCGGGGAATCACATCCAAGAAACAGCAGAGTCTGATAACTTCGTCCAAATGGTATGAGTAAGTTCCCTATGAAAAAAATGAAGCACGCAGCATCACACTTCACTCGACCTCCCACTGAACAAGCACCTCGAATGCCATGCCCTGCTTGCCCATTGCTCGCTCGTAAGCCGCCTTGCCGAGCCCCCTCGCATCCTTTTCGCCTACCTTCGTGACGATCGCCACCATAACTTTCTCCCCGCTCACAACCCTTAGCCCATCAAACCTCCACCCACCATTGACCGGATCCAGCGTCATAGGCAGCCAACCGCCTCTCCCGGGTGTCCTATCCTGCGCCATCAGCGGGCCCATCACAACATGCACATACTCCTCCTGCTCCCTCTCCCGCACATGTTCGCACTTCTTCTTGACATAAAACGTATGCGTGCCCTTCTGTATGATCCGCGTCGCGGGGTACAGCAAGTGCGACGCATACTCGCCCTGGAGGAACGTGCCCGTGACCGTCGGCGAGTCCTCCTCCGCACCGATGTACTCCTCCCAGCTCACGAGCGGCTCGACGAACTGCTTCCACGGCTCGCGCGGGTCGGGGAAGTGGCGCCGCCCGAACTCCTCGTTCGTCGCCATGAAGTGGAACGAGTCGAAGCGGCGCGTGAACACCCCGCTCGCGTCGAGCGCGCCGCCCGCCCAGCACGAGTCCACGAGCTTCCACGCGCCGTCGTCCAGCCGCACCGCGTTCCACGCGTGCCCCGCCGAGTACGGCGGGACGGGCGCCCCCGGCGCGAGCGGCGCGTACCCGAAGCCCTTGCCGTGCCCGGTGACCACGATACATTCGAGGCCTGCGGCGAGCGCGAGCGCGGCGAAGAGCCCGCCGTAGCCCTCGCACACCGCCATCCCGCTCCGTAGCGTGGAGTCGGGCGTCGAGGGTTTGACGTTGTGCGTTAGGAACGCCTCTGCGTCGTACGTGATGTTTAAGTGCAGCCAGAAGGTGATGGCGCGGACTTTGTCAATGGCGACGGGGAAGGGGGATGTCAGGTCGTATGCGAGCGCTTCGATCGAGGTGACATGCTCGCGCGGGAAGTGCGAGGCGTGCTCATCCATGGCGGTATAATCTCTACAGCGGATACATTCGCCGAGAGATTCGGAGGGCGCTGGCTCTGGGGTATATTCTTCCTCGAATGTGGGAACGTCGGGCCTCGTGGCGTAGTTTATGGGCGGCGGAGGCGGAGGCAGCTTCTCGGACGGCTTGACATGCACTGGCTGTTTGTCTTGCGCCCTCGCGGGGGGAGGCAGG